CTCTCAGTCTGAGCTGTAGTTATCAGCCTCTCAGTCTGAGCTGTAGTTATCTCTCTCAGTCTGAGCTGTAGTTATCAGAGCCTCTCAGTCTGAGCTGTAGTTATCAGCCTCTCAGTCTGAGCTGTAGTTATCAGAGTCTCTCAGTCTGAGCTGTAGTTATCAGAGCCTCTCAGTCTGAGCTGTAGTTATCAGAGTCTCTCAGTCTAAGCTGTAGTTATCAGAGTCTCTCAGTCTGAGCTGTAGTTATCAGAGCCTCTCAGTCTGAGCTGTAGTTATCAGCCTCTCAGTCTGAGCTGTAGTTATCTCTCTCAGTCTGAGCTGTAGTTATCAGCCTCTCAGTCTGAGCTGTAGTTATCAGAGCCTCTCAGTCTGAGCTGTAGTTATCTCTCTCAGTCTGAGCTGTAGTTATCAGAGCCTCTCAGTCTGAGCTGTAGTTATCAGAGCCTCTCAGTCTGAGCTGTAGTTATCAGAGTCTCTCAATCTGAGCTGTAGTTATCAGCCTCTCAGTCTGAGCTGTAGTTATCAGAGTCTCTCAGTCTGAGCTGTAGTTATCAGCCTCTCAATCTGAGCTGTAGTTATCAGCCTCTCAGTCTGAGCTGTAGTTATCAGAGCCTCTCAGTCTGAGCTGTAGTTATCTCTCTCAGTCTGAGCTGTTGTTATCTCTCTCAGTCTGAGCTGTAGTTATCTCTCTCAGTCTGAGCTGTAGTTATCTCTCTCAGTCTGAGCTGTTGTTATCTCTCTCAGTCTGAGCTGTAGTTATCAGAGCCTCTCAGTCTGAGCTGTAGTTATCTCTCTCAGTCTGAGCTGTAGTTATCAGAGTCTCTCAGTCTGAGCTGTAGTTATCAGAGCCTCTCAGTCTGAGCTGTAGTTATCAGAGTCTCTCAGTCTGAGCTGTAGTTATCAGAGCCTCTCAGTCTGAGCTGTAGTTATCAGAGTCTCTCAGTCTGAGCTGTAGTATCAGAGTCTCTCAGTCTGAGCTGTAGTTATCAGAGTCTCTCAGTCTGAGATGTAGTTATCTCTCTCAGTCTGAGCTGTAGTTATCTCTCTCAGTCTGAGCTGTAGTTATCAGAGTCTCTCAGTCTGAGCTGTAGTTATCTCTCTCAGTCTGAGCTGTAGTTATCAGAGTCTCTCAGTCTGAGCTGTAGTTATCTCTCTCAGTCTGAGCTGTAGTTATCAGAGCCTCTCAGTCTGAGCTGTAGTTATCAGAGTCTCTCAGTCTGAGCTGTAGTTATCAGAGTCTCTCAGTCTGAGCTGTAGTTATCAGAGCCTCTCAGTCTGAGCTGTAGTTATCAGAGCCTCTCAGTCTGAGCTGTAGTTATCAGAGCCTCTCAGTCTGAGCTGTAGTTATCAGAGTCTCTCAGTCTGAGCTGTAGTTATCAGAGCCTCTCAGTCTGAGCTGTAGTTATCTCTCTCAGTCTGACAGGAGAGAGCTCTCCTCCACCTTGTTGTAGAAACAGCAATTATTAACAGTAACAGCTGTTTGTGTTTCTGCAGGAGGAGAACATGGAGGCGGCGCTCAGAGGAAGTCTGCAGAGACGGAGGTAACGCAGTCGGATATTTAAATGTTATATGAATCTTAAAAAACGGTATTTAATTAGCATCTTCTCTCCCAGTGCTTCCAGTCTGATCCCAGCTCCCGTCAGTCAGTGGCACGACCACGCCTCAGTGGTGAGCGTTTACTTTCATTTACACACACTCACAGTAAAACCTCACGTACAATTTGTCAGAGCGTTAGCCGATAGAAGCGCGAGCGGAAGTAAAAGTAAACAAAGGAATCCAATGGAGGCGCTTTCTTTGATGATCTGTTTCATATCAAACCATGACTTGTATTGTGACTGAAATATATATATATAATAAAATGTATTGCAACATTAAAGTCTGAATCCAGATCAGAAACTGAACACTAAATATGTTTGAGGTTTCTGAGTGCTCTTATTGTTTATCTCAGACTGAATCCAGATCAGATGATTTTTAATAAACATAATATTAGAAGATAAGACTGTTTCTTCTTCAGTGGTTCCAGTCGCAGGACAGCGGCGTCACGCCAAACTCCTCCCCTTCTCCCACCAGGAGGTTCAGGTACACACACACACACACACACACACACACACACACACACACACACACACACACACACACACACACACACACACACACACACACACACACACACACACACACACACACACTGTTTTTTTAGTGGACGCTTACATTTGTGTGTATTCTCCAACAGACCAGCAGTCAGTGCAACTGTGAGAGTCCCGGCACTAACTCCACTCAAGAGGAAAGGTAAGTGTGTGTGTGTGTGTGTGTGTAGTTGTGTGTCTGTCTGTTTTACATCACATTATCTGTTGATATGTGGAACTTTTTAGTTGCTTAGTTACATTCAATATTCTCTCTTTTTGCTCTGTTTGGTTTCTTAGAGACAGACACTATACATTGTTCCAGTTAAAACAAAGACTTAAGAGACCCTAAAATGCTGTGTAGGGCAACTGAGATTTGGTTAAAGGACGTTGGGAGAGTCGACACAGTCTCCCCTCTTGAAGTTATAGATATTTTATATATTTGTAAACCTGGTTGTTTCTCAGGAGGAGTCGAGTCTGACGGACCCCCGAAGAAGCTTTTTGTCACCGGAGTATCGGACCCCCCCCACCGCAGCAGCTACACCGTCAGGTAAGGGTCCTCAGACACAATGTTAGCATTAGTTTAGCCAAATATAAATACACAAGACCACGCCCACTTACTTACATGGTTACAGCAAAGAGACAGTACTGATACAGACCCAATTGAACCAGTATTTAATTTAGTGATTTTTGTGTATATTCGTGTGAAATAATGATGTTTACCCGCCTCTCTTCCTCCCACAGTGTCTCTCAGTCGGTGGCCGGCTCCCCCACTGCAGTCAGTCCTCAGTCCAGCCCTCTGTCTCTCTCTCCTCCCCCCTCCTTCACCCCCTTCACCTCCCATCACCACCCAGGACACTAAACCACCCCATAATCCTCACCCAGTCCTGACCAGCAGCTCCGAAACACCCGGAGGACCATCAACTCCCCATCGCACCTTATTCCTGTAATCCCGCCTCTTCCTGCGACGACAGGAAGTACAGATCAGCCTGGTTTATGACTTCATTGGAAGTGTCTGTTTTGGATCCCTGGATGTCTTTCCTGCAGCTCTGAAGCATCAGACTTTCTTTAGGTCGCAAACTGTTCCTATTGGTTAGTTTTTAACCCAAATCCCTGAGTCCACGTTGGACTGAAGGACTTCCTCGTGAGGTTCGTCGTACGTCTGAAGGCTCGTAGGTCGAACCTCAAATGATAAATATTGTACAAAGGATTCATCATCAGCAACAGCATCGGGAGATCACGGAAGAAAACTGTTCGGGAGTCTCGAGGACACACAGGTTGTGTCTTAACGAGATTCTGATTTGAGAAGTTTAACTCATGAAGCGTTCAAGAAACAACCAAGCACACAAACGTCTCAAAAACGGCAGATTTCCAAGGAGCTTTCGAGGTTAAAATCATATTTCTGTGTTGGTCCCTGAAGGCAGCAACCTCCCTGGTCCAATGGGATATCTCCATGTGATTTTGGATTATGATTCTTAGCCCAGAAAACCATAGAGCTCCAGACCAGGGGACAGGAAGTGAGGAAATGCTGACTCATTCCTGCAGCTCAGGTCCAATTCTCCAGTGGACGAAGCTCCAGATCGTCTTTATTCTTCAGAGGTTTTGAAGAACTTTTAATCAGGTCTTGAGTTGAAATCAAGACTAAATCAAACCGGTGACGAGGAATGTTTTCGAGGCTCTTCAGGAACATTTGGTTCAGCCGGTTCTCAGCTTTTGGTCCTGGAGTCGTTGGAAATCAAGTCCGTTATCAGGAAGAAGTAGAAGTCTGATGGATCTGGACTTTATCAGCACTCAAACCAATCAGTGAACCAGGGTTACGCACTTTTTGTGCATCGTAAAACTACCATAAGGTTTCAAGGAGTTTATAGCTGAAGACGAAGAATTTAGCGTCTTTCATCAACAAAACAAATAACTAAACCTCCAAAAAGCCGAATATCCAGTAAAGCAAAGTAAAAGGTATCTTATTCCCAACCAGGGATTTCACAAGAAATGTATTTTCTGTAGGAAATTATATTCGACCTGAATTCTGAAAAAAGGTTATAATCGGCCTTCTCCCAATAATCGTTCTTACTGAATAGATCTTGAACGCAACATAATGCTAACTGCTAACATTAGCTACCTTCTTGCCGATTTGAACATGGATTCGTTGTTCAAAACGTAGCATTATTTCCGTAAATAGTGAGTTTACTGCGTCCCAAACTACTTTTCTATCGTCCCCAGGATGCCGTTAGTCTTAAGATTTCATGGCACCACCGGGAACTACGGTACTTGCGATACTGTCGAAAAACCAGTATCATCAACTTTTTAGGATATTGGATTCGACCTGAATTCTGAAAAAAGGTTATAATCGACCTTCTCCCAATAATATATTTTACTGAATAGATCTTGAACGCACTATAGTGCTAACTGCTAACGTTAGTTAACTTTCTTGCCGATTTGAACATGGATTCGTAGTTAAAAATGTAGTATTATTTCCGTCAATAGATAATGAGTTTGGGACGCAGTAAACTCATTATCCCCAGGATGCTGTTAGTCTTGAGTCCTCACGATACTACAGGAAGCTACGATACTTACACTACTTTAGAAAAACCAGTACCGTCAAGTGTTCAGGATTTTGGTTTCGACTTGGTAGACTATGAAGAGGTTAAGCTTTCCGTAAAGGCCAACACCGGTTGTTGGTATTTTCTGGAAGTCCAAACCAGATTAAACGTGAACAGTTTCAGTCATTAACGACGTCGTGTTTTAAAAAAGATCTTGTCTGTTGCCGCTCAGACTGAAGTCTTGTGTTTGTAGAAACTTGAAAGACGTGTTTGTCCAGAGTCTGAGGAGCAGGTTGATGCTCCCGGTCAGTAGAAGTCTGTTTGTTAATAGTGTATCTATATGTGAATATTGACGGAGCAGCTGATGCTCCATCTTTACCCTCTCAGTCTGAGGGTCTGTTCATCACCAATGAAGGTATTCTGATTGTTTAAAAACATAAATGGTTAGAAAAAAACACCATTATATTTTTATTTACTGTTTTACAACTCAAGAAGTTAGTCATCCTTCTGATGAAGTACATATCAATAGAGAAGTGCAGGGATGTTTCTGTGTTGGTCCCTGAAGGCATCATCGCCCTGGTCCAATGGGATTCCTCCATCTGATTTTGGATTATTGCGGAAAGTAATCTCTGCGGGAAATGAACCTTTAGCTTGTGTTAATAACGGACCTTATTTCAAAACCACGTCCAGTGTTTGGGACTCATTCCTGCACCAGCTCGACTTAGGACCAATCAGCTCTAGATTCTGCTTTTTCTGCGCTAAATCTGCATTAAAGAAGAATCTGTTGGTCAATATTTCAATAAAGTAGTATCAGATGCATGTAGCCGGGTCAGAGTTTCAGAAAATACAAAACGTAGTTTCTGCTTCCAACTTTTGCACTTACAAAGTTTTGTACAGTTTTGTACGTTCGCTCATCGTTGTGCCTAAACATGAGGTCATGTTTCAGAGGAGCTTTCCCTCTCCAGTCCACTCAAACGTCAGATTTAACGGAGAGGAAGTGGTTAATAATCCCATCTGAGATACGTCTGTACATAAAGTCTCTATAAGCTGCTCATTAGAAGTGTCTTCATCCATTCAGCTGCTCCGACAGAATCACCTTCCAAATCTTCTTCTTTTCTTTCTGATCATATTTTCTCGACTTTGCACAGTTACACCACTTTAATCTGTTTTTCTGTAATCTTGCTGTTGATGCTGCTTCTCTGCTTTATTTCTCCACTTGTTACCGAGTCTGTTCTGCGTCAGAGGCAAATGAAGTCTCAAATATTTCAGTTTAACTTTATAATGTCCAAAACTACGTGAAGAGTTCTTGAGATGGAAATATTCCAAGTTACAGTTCAAGCTTCAAATTCTTTGATACTGCTTTTTAATTTTGATATATTACTTTTCTAAAGACCTTCACCTGTACCATTTTGAAAAAAGTCTGAATTTGAAAAGACTGAATTTGAAAAAGTCCAAATTGTTGAACAAAGTGTAGATTACGAAAAAATATGAATTCTAAAAATAATATGAATTTTGAAAAAAGTAAAAAGTCTGAAAAAATGTCACTTTTGGTCAGATCTAATAAGATGACCAAGAGACCATCTTTAGAAATCATAACTTCGAGACTTTTCTGAAGCAGGACAGATTCGAGGTAACGTCACGCTGCCAAATGATTCCCAGACTCTAGCTTTAAGAAGATTTTCTGTTTATTACTTTTTATTTGCACGCGATCACAAACTGTGGTCTTGAAGAGGATTTGTGTAGCTGGATGGAAAAATGTGAGGCTGAATTCAAAGAATGTTTTCAAGCCAAAAATTATTCGACTGAATCTTAAAATATCTGTAGAAAAAGATTCATGAATGTTTTTCTGTGTTTTTGTCCTTTTTGCTTTTCTGTCCTTTTTTTAAAAAGTGTTTTCAATCATTTTGATTGTGTTTTATTTAAAGTACATTTCCAGTGTTATGGAGGTTTTCAAACTCATTCAATTTAACCTTTTTTGGTTCAAATTTCTGTTGTATTTTTTAATAATATTCAGGGCAAATCTGCATACATTTTGCAGTGACTACCGGTACTTATTTGTCGAAGCAAAAATAAATGGAACAAATTCATTATTATTTTATGAATTCATCAAGTTTTTCACATTTTCTGTCATTTACAAAAAAAATGGATTTAAGGATTGATCGAAAACAATTTGTGACACAAAAAATCAAATCATGAAATTCTGGCTATTTAAAGTAATATTAACATAAGAAAACATCCTGTAGGTCATTATTTCTCTTTTACACTCTCTATATTACGATCTAGTTTAAAAAGATATTGAGAAAATATGTTGTTAAAGAAAAAGGTTTGTCATTATTTTAAGAAACTAAGTTATGTCAATACATGTTTGCAATTTCTAGACATTTTGTCAGACAATAAGAACCTCATTATTTTTATTTTGTTTTCTTCCAAAAGTCTCTCATGTCTCATCCTCCGACACTGAAAACCTCCATCACACAGATTTCTGTATTTTAACGATAGCTTGATGATTTCTGAAATTGAAAGTCATTTGTGTAAACATTTCCGCAGCTGCTTTATTTTAGTTAGCTTCTTGTTCTTCACGTTATATCGTCTTTGTTTCCTCACATCGACCCGTCAACGTCTGTCAGTATTAAAGTCATGTCTCACTCCGGAGAAAAATACGGTGATATTTCTCAGTTAAATAAAGACTACCATTTTTATTTTAAGAGATTTTGCTTCAAAAAATTGCTTTTATTTTTGGGGTTTGATGTTGACTTCCCAAAATGTTATAAAAAAAAAATCCACAAAAGAAACAACCTTGTTTGCAAATTACACTTCAATCATTTCCCAATGTTTGGATAAATAAAGTGTGTGTATATATATCTATCTAATCGCTCTGGCTGTTATCTACTTCTAATCATTTAACTGAATTATGACCTTTTTTCCAAAATGTAAAACATTTGTTTTTATTAATAAATTACTAGAATTAGATTTCTTTAAAAAAAAAATGTGAAACTGACATTTTGCTAATTTTGCCAAATACACAATAATTGAGATTTTGAATGTAGGACCTTCACCTGTACAATTTAGAAAAAAGTCTAAAGATTGAAAAAAGTCTGAATTTTGAAAAAAAAGATAACATTTTGGAAAAAGTCTAAATTTGGAACAAAGTCTGAATTTAGAAAAAGTCTGAATTTAGAAAAAAGTCCATGTTTTGATAAATGTTTGAAGAAAAGTCAAAATTATATTTTTTAATTGAAAACTTTAAGCACTTTAAATGTATACGTTTGTGAAGCGTTGTGAGTTGTGACCCTAAAACTGTTAATATGAAATAATTATTTTCTGATTTGATTTCCACGACACCAGCAGATATTCGTTCAGGTTAAAAAGCTGAGAAATAACGGAAACTTCGGAGTGAGGTACGGCTTTAAAAAAACACCAAAGGGCTGCTGAAGTACAAGAAGGGAAATAAAAGCACATCTAACATTCACAGTATTTTTTCAAATTGTAAATATTATTTCTTTTTGGACAAATTCTCGACAAATGAGAGGATGTATTTTTATGCAACTGTAAAATAAAAGTCTATATTCGAGTGTTCATTAGGAGGGTCCCACGGCTGTAAAGATGACGCAGAATTACTTTTTAGTTTTTAAAAAACAATTCATCTACATACTATAAATATATATTATATTGTATATGAAAACTCTCAATAAAAGAAAATCTGTATCGTAGAAAATGTGTTTTTTGTCTTCTGAACAGAAACTGATTCTAATGAACAGAACTTTTTCTCACAACTTTTTTTTCCACAGATATTTTTTCACAACTTTTGATAAACTATACTATAAATGTTTTCCAACATACTTTACTATGACTTTTTTTTGGCATGTTATACAAACACTATAATATGACTTTTCTAACATATGTATACTATTACTTTTTTCGAGATACTATAACATTACTTTGGATCTGGGATGGAGCTGGGGTGGAAGCTGGGGTTGGAGCTGGGGTGGAAGCTGGGGTGGAGCTGGGGTGGAGCTGGGATGGAAGCTGGGGTGGATGCTGGGGT